AAAAGACGCTGAAGGGCTCTGCGCCCGGCTGGCTGCAACGCCGACAGGGGTACGTGCTGGCTTCGCATGGATACTTGCGGTTGGTTGAATTTCTCGGCAAAGATACGTATGATGCGGTCCCCGTGAGTGATACAAAGGTAGGAACTAATGATAATGATACCACATAATTGTAACAAACAAACTGCACGATGGTTATTAACAGTCCAGACGTATCAACCATAAATTTTATTTAATAATATATATTTAATTTTTTTTAAAAATAGCCAAGTTAGACCTGGCTGGCTGAGAAGGCTTTACTCCTTGGCAACCTCTAATTTTAGGGCGTACATTCACTATTTATTTGCTTCTCGGGGTTTGAAGATTGTTTCTCAACTTCCATAGCCATTTTTGATCAAATTCATTCTTGTAGCTTGTTTTCTGCAAAACTTTGAAACATTGACGAGTAGATCTATTAATTCATTGTTCATTTTTAGAACTGTGAGAAATTGAGTAATAGCCTGAAGAGGAGGAAAAGTTTCAGCATGCTGCGCTTTTTCATTACCTTTGCCTTGTTTTTCTTTTTTATGTATCATAGGCTAGTAACCTCACCATGTAATGAAGAACTGGATTTCGAATTAAACTACACAAAGCAATGGAATCATAATTTTATGCTTGTAAATAAAAATGTTTTCTCGTTTTTTTTTCTGTCCTCAGCTACACATGTATCAACAACACTACCTCTTACAGCTGAATTCTGCAGCGCCAGTAGTTATGGCTGTCTCCAAAAAGGCCCGTTGGGGGAATCTTGGTAAAAATCCTTTTACTCAGGAAGGTATTACCGCGAAGCAAATACTCGAATTAACATGGATGTTTCATCAGTCTTTTAAGGCTGTCATCTTTAAGGAAGTGTTGTCGACTCAGTGGTTAATGCACTACACGAAGCTTCCTATGATGGAGGTTATCGGTGGTAGGATTAACGAGGAAGATGACATTTTGTGGCAAGAGTATAAACTCTATGTGAAAGAACTTTCTTGCAATCTGCGTAACGTAACAGTAAACTCATACAAGCCCAATACGCATTATTTTGAGGTCTTCTCATTCTGGCTAGATGGCATTCGTCTGGATATTATAGGAGAAGCGATGAATCTAATGAACGAACTGAGCAAACGCCTAAATATCCATTGGAATTATACTTCACAATTATATGGCTTACGATTTAAGGTAAGTGATTTTTGGTTTTAATTGTAAATATTGACCAATAGTATAGGAAATTATAATGATTTCTGACACTTACTTGTAAATCTAATTTACAATAAAAATCTCTTCTATTTCAAACATGTTGATCACAGGAAAGCAGAAAACATTATTGAAAATATTGTTTAAAATATTGTTGAAAGACAGAACGTGTTTTAAAGCAAGTAAAGTAATTCAAAACCATCAATTGTTATTTTGTAACAGAAGAAAATCGGATAGGATGTACTTCGAATAGGATGTACTATCGTACTATGTACTCAATCTTTACTATAAATCCAACTCGAGAGATGCACTTGTGGAGACGTTATCTAATTTTGTGCTATTTTTGTAACCAACATGCGGAGCAGAAAATTACAATTCTAATTTTTGGAGTTCTTTTTGCAATTTATAATAAGGACAGTGATTCTCAAAACGTATAGCGTACTTATTGAAATATGTGTTTCTCTGCTAAAAAATTAATTCAAGGGAAGTACAATTGTAAGAGAGAAAAAGATGGGAGAGAGAGATGAGAATGATAGAGATGAAAGAAAGGGAAAGAGAGGGTAGAGAGATAGAGATAAAAGTAGACAGACATGTAGACAGTATATATATATATATATATATATATATATATATATATATAGGGAGAGAGAGATAATGAAATATATATAGAGAGAGGAGAGAGGAAGGGATAGTGTTTATCAGCTGTATTTTATGTACAAATTATTTCACCATTTTTCTAGCCAAATCGCACGCCATTTCACGTAATTTCGCAAAGACTGGCACTAGCAACGTGGTTTGGAAAAGTTGACTTTTCCCCTTGCTCTTTCTTCCATGACGGGATTACTTGGACGTTGATGAACATAATTTCTGCAAGTGCCGAGGAGGCCACATTCATCATCATAGTTCCCCGCTCGGATCCCCTGCCTCTATGGTCTTTGCCAATCCGTGTGTTCGGGCCACTAATCTGGGCTGGTTTGTTGGGGGCCGCGTTCTCGTACGCGTTGGCGTGGCGCGTGGTGGCGGGCGAGTCGCTGGGCGCCTGCGCCGCCGCCGCGCTGCGCGCCTTCTCCTCGTGCGGGGGCGCCCCGCAGGACAGGGTGCGTGTCACGCCGCAGCGCCTGCAACTGGCCGCCGCGCTGCTGGCATCAGGGATCGTTGTCATTGCTGTTTATCAAGTGAGTGTACAGTACTACTCTCAGTGACTGAGGCAGATTTTGTGTTTTTCCGACAAAAAACCTTCAAAAAGTTAATGTAAACTCAATGATTTAAATGGTAAATAAAATTTTAAACATTGTCAAGACCAAATATACAAATCTACAAGCATAAAACAAATTCACTAAATAACTTCTTATGATAAAATTCTCTGTCCCAGGGTAGACTCTTCACCCTGATCACCAACCCAGAACACTACGCAGAGATCGACACCTTCAATCAGCTAGCTGACAGTGGTCTGCCTGTATTTGGACCAATCGTTTTCTCCGTTCCACATTTGCTGGAATCAGAAGGGGGCAACCCACAGCTTCTGGAAACCGTTAAGCGCCTTTCCAAGCTTAAGAGCGAAGTCGCTCAAACCAACGACATCGCGATAATGGTAACGGAAGGCAAGCGACTGGCGTGGTTGGAACCAAAGCACGCATGGGATTTGTACTCCAAAGTAGTGTGGCTCAACCAACGAATGCGACCTATGAGGGATGGATTTGGATTCACAATGAACGCCGTTCATGCTCGCCCGTAAGGTTTTCTTCTGTTTTGCTTTTTTGTGAATGGATGGGTGTGTTCAGCGTAACTCAAACACGTTAGCAGATTTAGACCTCAAAGTTGATTAACATATTATTATTATTATTATTATTATTATTATTATTATTATTATTATTATTATTATTATTATTATTATGGTCGCGAATTGGTCGTCTAGGTCCACGCAGCCATACACCTGCACTTACCAAGGCTCAGTAACATTTATGCCGTGGCAAGTGTATGTGACTTCATTTTGGGGGATCTGCATTATGGTGAATCCAATTTTTATTCGCCAGGGTTGCTACTCCTGGGGGGATGGAAGTTGGAATGATGATGATAATGAATGAGGAATGAACGACACACACATACAAACATACACAAACACACCCATGCTTGAGGTGGGACTCGAATGCTCGATCTTTCTATGCGAGATCACCACGGTACTACTGCCTTAGCGATCTCAGGCATCCGGATCATGCGAAGTGATCAGGACTTTTTTAAGAAGATTATGTTTACCGATGAAGCAACATATACAAATCACGGTCATGCCCGAACGATACAAATCTATGCAACATGCACTACAGGGCAGTGGACAATCCTCGCTGGCTTCGTGAAGTTGAGAATCAAAAGCAGTGGAGTATTAATGTCTGGTGCGGTATTCTTAACGACACCATCTTGGGTCCCTATTTCACTGATGGAAACAAATACGCAAGAATTCTTCGTGAAACATTGCCGCTGCTGCTGTTGGAGGAAATTCCCCTGGATATTAGAAACTGTATGTGGATGCAATATAATGGATGTCCAGCCCACAACGCCCTTGTGGCTAGGCAAGTGCTGAATGAGAAGTTCCCCGGCCGATGGATTGGGCGTGGTGCTGTAGTAAACTGGCCGGCAAGATCACCTGATCTTACATCCCTGGACTATTTTCTATGGGGAACGATAAAGAACGAAGTTTACTCACAAGTACCAACAACATCTGAAGATCTGAGGCGCCGTATTACCGCATCTTGTCATGCCATTTCACGTAGAACTCTGAATTCTGTTCGTAGGTCTCTTTACAAACGTCTTCAAATGTGTATATCCGTTGATTGTGCACATATTGAGTACATTTTATAAATCAAGCTATTTATAGAATTGTTAATTTACCTTTTGTTTCTGTATTTGAAACGATTTTTTTCACTTTTATTTAGACTATATTTTTGACCAGCTGAGGTTTTCAGTCTTTCAAAGAGTGAACGTTTTGTTTCTGACAGTACACACATTTATTAATTCAGAACATGTTCACTCTCGAATTTTCCCTTGTTTTGTGTACGATTAATAATTCAAATATTTTCTCAAATCTCTAGTATTTAATTAATTAAAAAATAGTACCTTGCAGCGTACAGATTTGCTCAGAACATGGCTGTGGGTGAATACATTATCTCCAGGGCTGAGAGTGTGTAGTCTTAAAGAGCACATCGCGGGTTTTCGTGAGCTTCTTTGCACATTGCATCAGTACATTTACCGCAAGGCGAAGCAACGGAAGGGAATGACCTCGTCGCATATCACCCGGAATTTCTCGTTCAGATTACGACACCAGCAGTCGGCGTGCGTCTTTAAAACTCTTAAATTATCGAAAATTTGTGATGTAACATTTGGCGATATGCATACTTATCAACTCGTCTCTTCACGCTTGATATGATGAGTTTAATAAATCTATAGGGTTCCATTCAAAAAATTGAAGTTGTGTCAATACCTCTGCAATAAAAATGCAATAGAATATTATTATGCATGACCATATATGCCTCTTGCATATAGCAGTTTTAGTGAAAACCGCATCTCAGTATCTGCAACGATTTAGGCGAAAATTGAAGGGAACATTTTACGTGGGCCACACGGTATATCTCCTGCCAACACGTGACTTTGAAGGGACCCTTTTCTAAAGCGGAGTACATTTGAGAGTTTGAGAGGTCTTGCACGGGAACGCTTGTAGATAAATCGAGAGTAATATATATACAAGTCGTCCCGTAATTGATTAATCCTAATCATAAAAGTAAATTAAACTATCTATGCTGAAACGTAATTGCCAGTTTTTATAATTGTTTTGAAGACGAGAAACATACACTGTCGAAAAAAAATAATGCAGCACTCCGATTACATTGAACAATTAATTTCTCCATAGATATACAGCACTTTCAGAGAGAATACCATTAATGATTACATGGGCAGAACTGAGACTCGCGCGTTCAGCAAAGAGAACAATGGAACGGAAACACCATATCAATACTGCGTGTACGCGCGGCGAGAAGTACAACCACCCCTAATTGCGGGCTGGCATCCCATCGTAGAGGTGGCGAATAGTGGCCTGCGGTACGTCGTTCCGCGCCTCCTAGACCGCCTCACGTAGAGCAGGCAGAATTGTTGGGTAGGTCGCAGCACGGATCAGGTGTTGGCCGATCATGTTCCACACATGCAACATCGGAGACCCATCCAGCATGCATGCCGGCTGGACAGTTGACAAACATCGCTGAGAGCGGAGTCAAGGGTGGCCATAGTTCTACTGGAACAGCACCCACACTTCCGTTGCAAGAAATGTATCAGCTGAAGCCGCATAACATGCTGGATGTATCCAACATTGGTCAATGATTTCTCCACGAACACCACAGACGCACGCGTGTTATAACTGATGGCACTCAACACCACCACTGTCAGAGAGGACCCAACGTTACGTGGACGAACACACACTAGACGTACGCGCTCGCTTGTGCGATCGACCATCACTGGCGTGCAGGCAGAAGCGACTCTCATCACTGAACACCAGTACACGCCATTCCGTCTCCCATCTGACTCGGACATTGTACTACGCCAGATGTGCGGAGTGAGTGGCTGTCGAGATAGCGGTATGCGCGATTGTAATCATGCATCGAGTAACCGGTTCCCAATGGTGCGTGAAGACACGTTGCAGGCCACTTGCACTTGCATCTCGCCGCGGGTGACTGTACGATTTGCCAAAGCCGCACTCACGATGCGTCAATCGTGACGTTCGTCAGTGCTCCGCGATCGCCCCGAGGTGGGTGTAGAATACGGGAATGTTCGTCTACCCATTTTCGCCAACACCGCAACACCCACGTATCACGGCCCACATGGTCAACAATGCACCGAAAGGACCACCCAGCTTCGCGCAGACCGACAATCCGACTCGGAGCTCAAACTGGTCCAGTTGCTTAAAGGACGAACGAGTGCAACGCATTGGTATACCTAAGCTCCAACTAGACCTTATCGCAGTTGCCCAATTTTATAGAAAAACTGAATAAAACTGGAGCAATTGATATGGAAACCTACATTATAGATACGTCTTAATATGTAAATGATCATTACTTAATTAAATACCACTGGACAAATCTCCTACCCATATTAAAAAAGTTCAACTGAGTGGGCTCAAAATTCACAAACATTTTTCATTTTACCAATTTGAACAAGAAAAGCTGTGAAAATAATCAAATTGAGTCATTACGAAAAGTTGCTCTTCTACCATTAGAATTATTCACATTTGCTTTCCTCATTGCAGTATTATTTTCAATGGTAAGAAAGTGTTCTTCAGCAAGTCGCTTTTGCTTCTGAGAAGACGATTCATACTTTTTAAAGGCTGCGCATCTCTTAGCACTTGTCTGTTTTGACAACTGTGACTTTCATTTCGGCATTGTTTCAAACAATTCAGTATTCACTAAATTCTGTAAAAAAAGAGGTGGTTTAAAAAGAATACGTTATCTATATTTGTTGTAAATTGTACATTACTGAGTATTTTGAACTGTAAATTATTGTACTTTTTACTCTCTTAACCTACCTCAATTTTTAAACACTTTCAAATTCAAAAATATTTTCTTGTCATTGTATATAAGACGGACTAAACTCAATACATGTACTACATTGACATTCTTTACTTAAAGGGATCACGGTTTTCTTTCAAATGTTCTCCCAACGTTCAGAACTACAAAATCACCAACGTTCACACTCGGACATTACATAGTCTTATTCAAACTCCTATGAATTGCGTAAAAGTTCTGGGCATTGATAAACTCAGAAGTATATCTCAGACGTCATTCTCTGGTGACACGCAGCTAGGCTATTGACATTGATACCTCTTGAATCTGTGATGCAAAGCTAGGCGAAACATTTCCAAAAAAGTAATTTTTTAAATACATATATTAAGATTTATGCTTTAAAATCGTAGTCTACAGTACTCCAGACCTTTAAAAGAAGGTTGCACAAACGTTTCATGAGTATTGGTTCAGTAGATTCAGAGATTATCGCACAGAAAATCAACGCATTTCTGTCTTTAAATATTAGTATAGATATAAATATATTGTGCCAGAAATAATAGCTTCTTTAAAAGTGAAAAAGTTTTAATCTTCTCATTTACTTTTTTCTAAAAGTCACAATCACAGACACATCTGTTGTGAACACACATTAGTACTCAATTTCACGTGACAAAATGTTTGATTTTATAACATTTCTTTTAGAAAATGTAGTTGCCATGACGCCTGCTCCAACTCTCGTATTTGCGCCTGAAATAATGGTCTCTTCAAAACAGTTAAAAAGTTTCAATCTTCGTATTTACTGTTTTCTTCTTTGAAATCACCCATATCTGCCTCAATGTTGCTCTGTTTACGTTTTATTCTATCTGACCTTCTTGTTCCCATTCTTCTTTACTACATATCGCACAAGTGTGTATTCTCTAACCCGTTCAATCCTGTTTCCTTTCCATTAGCACTTCCACCTAGTCCTGTCCCCATTCCTTTTTAAAGAACCTCTTTACAATTTTGAAGACCAGATTTCATTTAGAAGAAGAATTTCTTAATTCAATATTGTGGTTATAGGACGACGCCGAAAATATTAAACTTTCGCAAGTTTCGAATATTCAGAGATTTAACGAAAGTCTGGCCTACATCATTTTTATATGCGTACATTGCTCTATCTGTATAAAGAATTTATCAAAATTTGGAGACATTTTTTAATATC